TGAATATTTCTGAAAATAGTTCATAATTTCTCTTCTTTTGCAATTTGGATTTGCTTTATTTTTGTTGTGCAGTTGCTCTAGCAGATTAGATTATCAGTGGTTGTCAAATGACTTTTCAGCAATATGTGAATTGGTTGTTTACCGCTCCTGTTGATAGATTTTGCTATTGTCTGCCATTGGATGTTGGAGTCATTGAAAAATATGTATTTATTTACTCAGTGGGTTCGTAGGCCTGGAGATGGCACTGAAAATATATTGTTTGTTTTGTGGTTACTTTGCTAAGTAAGTATATGGTATAAAGTGTGCAGCAAGAGTTTAAGTGTGTCATTCTTTTGCTCTTTAGAAACCTGTTTCCACACAACTGAGGCGACCAGGCATGCTTGTACCAAAGCAGGATGTTTCACCCCCAGATATGTCAAGTTTGTCTCTAAAAAGTGATCAAGGTAGAGTAATCCTAAAATGATTTTCCTTAGATGATTTGGGTGGTCAAACACTGTGATAATTGGTTAGTAAATATGTAATCTATACATTTTGATCCTTCTTTTTAAATAATTGACTGTAAATGTTCAAATATGGTACTAAAGTTATAAAAGCTCAGGCAAGTTGCATTTGTTTGAATAACACAGTAGTGTCTTTTTTGTGTGTGTGTGTGCAAAAATCTGGTCTCTTGGTTTCTGCCTTTTTATGTTATTAAATCTACATTTTGGATTTAAGTATTTCTATATACTTAAGGACATTTAAGTTATAAAGGTGAAGATGAATTATTGAATTAACCTAGAAAAGAACATAGCTAATAAAATTCCTTGTTATACCTTCTGCCTGTTTATATTAATTGTATTATAACTTTGTCAATGATTAATAAACCTTTAATTCTTAAGGGTGGCCAAGTGGGGTAAGTAACACCTCCCATTCTCTCAAAACTCATTGTTTAGAGAATTTATAACTGGTCTTGTGTTTAATAGTAAAGAATGAAAGAAATTGCTCATAGTTTTTAATCAGAGTTTTCGGCATTAATTCTACATTTCTTTTCCCCTCTTAAGCCCTTATATTTGTTGAATATGAGTTCTACCTTGTCATTCCTGTGAGTCCAGGCTTATTATGTGTAGCTAAATTATGCAGAGCTGGCTGTAAGTTTGCATGATTTTGTTGCTTTACACAAAGAGTGGTTACTACTTTCATTTATGATAAATATAATTTCAAAAATTTTGACTTACCTGATAAAACTGATTTTCTCTTGTTCTAGTTTTTTTCCATTTAGGAATATAAGAACAAAAGGAAAATGATTCCAAAGTGTATGCTTTTTGTAGACAGTAAAGTTTAAGATGCTCATCTGTTCATCTTGCCTTTTTTTTTTTAGCTCTCCTTGGAAGCATTTTTTATTTTTTGAACATTTTTAGCCATGGTGAGCTACCTCCTCATTGTGAACAGCGCTTCCTCCCTTGTGAAATAGGCTGTGTTAAATATTCTCTTCAGGAAGGCATTATGGCAGATTTCCACAGTTTTATAAATCCTGGTAAGTACCAAGATGGAAGTAATACTACATCTTAAAAGTATTTTTATATCTTGATTTCATTTGATGATAATATTTGTTTGCTTATAAAAAGTAAAGACTGAAAAAACTTTTATGAACTCGGTTCTCATACAGGATTTTTGTTTAGGCTTTAATTATAACTAAGCATTAGTTTGGTGGTTAGAATGCCTGAAACGTGACACTGGGGAACCTATTAGTTTAGCTGTAAAGACTCATCTGTTAATAGAAATGTATGAGCCAGTATGGAAATAGTGTAGTCCTTAATAGGTCCTGAGAATTTCTCAGCATCTTTTCTCCCTACTACTCTACCCCATTAAAAGCAATTAATGCTGGAAAAGATCATGCTTGGTGAAAATAAGCCAGAAAGAAAAGGGAAAATACTGAATGGTTTCTCTCATAGCAGGAATATAATGGAACAGGCAAGAAAATAATGATAATGATGAACATCTACATACCAGAGACATTTTGTGGGGGTGGATTGGGGAATGGGATTAAAAACAGTGGGGGGAGGGAAATGAACTAGACTGTGGTGATGGCACATGGTTGATTTGGTGATGGGGAACACCAAGGGGATTACAACTGAGATGGAAAAAGTGCACAAAAATATGTAAAAACTATTTAAAAAACAATTAATTATGAAGACTTAAGATTGGGTTCAGTTCCCAAGAGAGGGTATGTAGTAGTTAAGGGAATAATACAGTATTCTTAATGATAAGTAGGAGAAATACATATTGAAAAGAGTAAAGTAGAATCCCTTCTTGGCCTTTTGGCTAAGATCAAGTGTGAAAAAAGTAAAAAATGGTTAGAGAAAGATGAACTTCACTTTTTAGTTTCACTTTTAGTCAATTGCTTTAAAATTCTTTATGACAGCCTAGAATTTTTATTTTACTTGTTCTCAGATGGCAGAAAAACTAATCATCTTGCTCACACTTTGTGAGAGTTGCTGCTTAGGACAACTCAGATACTGCTATTTTCATAAGGTTGTGAAACCTTAAGAGAATTTGAAAACTTTTTTCCTCTGAGAAATACTTATACATGTATGTTATGTACACATACCCACACACATATCTTTCTGTATTAAGGGCCTCATGAACCTTTGAGACCTAATCACAAACCTAATTAAGACTGCTTAGACCAAGTTTACTCTATGTGGTATTTCTTTCTCAGTAAGGAATCACTTGTTTTTTAAAGTCACTAAAATGGTATGCCAAAATTCTTTGTTTGATTTAAAAAAAAAAAAACCCTCCTGCTATCAGGATCTAATCTTTTTTGTTTTCACACAGCAATAACCATTTCCTACCTGTGCTATTTGTTCATTATGTAGAATATAACTAGTACAACTAGAGCTTCCAGATTTCTACTTTTCCCAACAAAATGCTTTATTTTTGTATTATAGGTGAAATTCCACGAGGATTTCGGTTTCATTGTCAGGCTGCAAGTAAGTATAAAGAAGTGAGGTAGAGTATAAGCATTGAATATATGCACACCTGGTTACAGTTGCTTTAAGCTTGCAAAGCAGACATACAAAACATAACATTGGAGAAAAAATAACCCATAGTAACTGTTGGAGAAACTTCATAGAAGTGGTAGATGGTGTGTGTGATTTTTAAAGTTTTGTAGACTTTTAGTATACCACCCCTTTTCCTTTTGAGGGATTGAGGTTTGATTTTTTGCACATGCCCTGTGGTCTTGAAATCAGCTTTTTTTTTTTTT